GTCCCATGAAGAAAAGCATTCTGGACGTCAAGTTGCCGTAAGGGCCATCGTTGTGTGATGGCAATAGATAAAACAGCTCGTATGGTGGTAGATTTTACCACAGGACTGAAGGTCTCCTGGTAGTCAATCCCTGCTTGTTGTCGGAACCCTTTCGCAACAAGTCTCGCCTTATAGCGAGTTATGGCCCCGTTTTTGTCACATTTTAACCTGTAAACCCACTTACAATCAATAAGGTTAGAATTTGGAACAGGGGGCACTAAAATCCAAGTGCCATTTTTTATAAGAGCATTGTACTCATCCGCCATTGCCTGACGCCATTCTGGAAATTTGTTCGCAATAGAAAATGATGATGGTTGAGATATGTTGGTGACAGTATGGTAGGCGGAGGGATGGAAGGGAACACGCGGTTTTGGGTTTTGCCTAAGGTTGGCGGTACGAGGACGAGGGACAGATGTTGGAGGAGGAGGTGTGGGAGGGGGAGATGTAGCGGTGGATTCAGTAGGTTGATCAACCGAGTTTTGGGTATTGTTAGGACTGGAAGATGGATGATCAACTGAGGGTTGTGGGTCAGTCGAGGCGGGGAGAGGTGATATATCAGGAATCTCGTGTGGAATGGAAAGGAGGATTCATCAAAACGAACATGACGTGCAATATAGATTCGTTCAGATGATAGATCAAGGCAACGATAGCCATGATGAAGAGGGCTGTATCCAAGAAAGATACATGGAGTTGACCTGCAATCCATCTTGTGAGAATTGTACGGTCTTAAATGTGGAAAACATAGACACCCAAAAACCCGTAGGAAGGAGTAATCAGGAGGACGGTTGAAAACATGTTGAAAGGGAGATTTATTTTGAGAGGTGCGAGAGGGCATGCGATTGATAATGTAGACAGAAGTTTCGAAGGCAAAGTGCCAGAAGCGCTGAGGTGTGTGAGATTGAGCCATAAGGGTAAGACCGGTGTCAACGACATGTCTATGACGTCTTTCAACAAATCCATTTCGAGCACTTGTGTGAGGACAAGAATGCTGGTGAATAATACCTAAATTGGTAAAGAGATTGGATAGGGAGCAAAATTCTCCACCCCAGTCAGTCTGAACACGCTTAAGTTTTGTGGAAAATTGTCTTTCGACCATTATGATAAATTTTTGAAAGAGATTGAATACATCAGGTTTTTGAGACATAGGGAAGAACCATATGTAACGAGAGTGATGATCAACACATAATAGAAAATAATGATGGCCATTAGAGGAAAGAACAGGAGCGGGCCCCCACACATCACAATAAACCAAATCAAGTATTTTATTACTACGAAAAGAAGATACAGGTAAATGTAGTTTTGAAGATTTTCCAAGTTGACATGATGAACAAAAACTAGAAGTAGACTTGTTTGTAACAGGAATTGAAAAATTGGAAACATAAAATTTAAAAGACTCTGATGAGGATGTCCAAGTCGTCGATGCCATATGTCTGAAGATGCACGGGCGGCAGAGAAAGCAACGGGAGAAGTAGACTTGGACTGGAACGACTGAGGCTTGAGCTTGTAGAGACCATTTTCACTGGGGCCCGTGAGAAGAGTAGTATGTGTAGACATGTCCTTAATGACAAAAAAAGAAGAGTGAAATTCAAAAAAGATATTATTATCTAAGCAAAAATTTTGAACTGAAAGAAGTTGTTTAGTGATGTGTGGAACATGTAAGATGTTTGTGAGTTGAAAGGTTTTATTTGGTGAGAAGATACGAGAGGAACCAATGTGGAGAATAGGAAAACCCTTACCGTCACCAACATGTAGACTGTCATTACCCTGGTATGTGCGAGAATCGTCCATGCTGGCAAGATCATGCGTGATGTGAGCATTGGCACCGGTGTCAGGAAACCATGAGTTGAAGCCTGTGGAGGCATGACTCTCAACAAGGTTGGCAGTGTTGCGCAGGCGGATGGTAGCTGGATCTCTGTTTGGACATTGTGATGGAAGATGACCAATGCCACACCGATTTCATGTGCCATAGACGGTGTTTTGGTTTGAGGCCCAGCTGAATTGGCGGTCACCTCATCCACGATTGTTGTTAGGGCGAGATGATCCACGTCTTCCACGAGTATAGGAGCCACGATTGCTATTTCGAGATCCATAATAAGCTTGAGGACTTGTTGATTGAGAGTCAGGCATTGAGTTTGGTACAATGTTGAAGCCGAGGGAGTTGAGGGCAGTAGTAAGAGAGCCTAGTTGGGCTACCAATGCTGATGTTGAGGGTGTTGAGGCAGCATTCGTGGTTGTATGGAATTCTTGAGCAACAGGTGTGGTAGGATTTCGTGTTTTCCCTATCATGAAGTCATGATCACTGAGAAGAGCACGGAGTTCGGTGAATGTGGTGGGACACTGCCTAGCTGTGATTGTAGATTTGAGACTGTTGTACTCTTCTCGTAAACCAGAGACGACAAGCATGACCAGATCTTTGTCTGATAAAGGAGATCCAATGGCTGCTAGAGCATCAGAGTACTCTTGAGCGCGATTCAAATAGGCATTATCAGATTCATCTCCCTTCATCTTGATTCTCAATAATTGTGTTTTGAGAGTGTATTCTCGAGATGAGGAGTGTGGAGCATATGCACGTTCGAGAGCAAGCTAGAGTTCTTGAGAGGTGGTACCTTGTACATGTCGAAAAGATGCTTCTGAAATTGTGGAGATTATCAACATGTGTACGTGGGCATCATTAGAAACCAAAATAGAGTAGTTAGGGTTGTCTCTTGGTTCAGGTTTCGGATCAGCAGCTGTGGCTGCTGCAGCAGGAAGTTGTTTTGCAGGGCACAAGATTGTACCGTCTACATAGTCATAAAGATTGTTTGTAAGAAGAAAGGGTTTGATCATGGCTTTCCAATATGCGTAATTGGTTGGAGAGAGGGTAAAAGCAAACTTATGAGTGTTGTGAGAATGCTTCTCAGCAGTAGTGAAGCTAGCGAGAAGAGCCATGGAGAATGATTAGCAGCTGACAATCGATTGTAGGAGAAGATGATTTGATCGACAATTGTGTGGCCGACATAATTATTTTTAGGGTTAGATCCTGCGCTCTGATACCATAACAGAATTGTAATCTGTGTTATATTATTAATGATGTACACGGTTCAATATTATATATGTATATACTAATTACATTTAGATACCCTCTATTCTATCTATATTATAAATATTCTAATAGTGACCGCTTCCCATTCCTTCTTGCTCTCCCTTTGTTGACCGTTTTTTTGCTCCCCCCGCTTGCGTCTCGGGTACCATTTCTTGTGTGGTATTTTGTTGCATTGTAGCGAATGTGTTGAAAAGGTTTTGTGGAAGGGTTGTAGGGAATTGTGGTGGGGTGAGGCGGGATTGAAAAAGATGCCGGAAATTGGAAGTTGGAGTGTGCCTTGAGTGTTGAGGATGTTCACGTACAACTCACATTGTGCAAAACCGAGAGGCCGAGATGTATTTGTGTTTGGAGGAGGAGTGTTGGGGTTTTGATCCATAGTGATGAAATGAGAAATTGTTTGATAATTTATAAAATAAGATGAGAGAAAGAATTTGGATTGTAGGTAAAAAAAATAAATTTAGATGTGTATATATAGGTGTAAAAATTAGAATTAAAGTTGAATTTTTTATTTTTTTATTTTTTATTTTTTTACATTTTTGACCGTTTAAAAACGGTTCAATTTATTACCGTTTGAGAAATTCTATCACAAATGAAGTCGTTTCTACCTCTTACCACACTAACGCCACCTAACGAATGTCGGATAACGCCTGTCGGGGGTGGTATAGCCGGCGTTATACCGGCGTTTTTTGTGTGCCATGTCGGATTAACGGGACTTCCCGTTGCCCGCTCCCACCCGTCTAACGCTTAGTTTTTTGAAAGGTGTTCTTTGAGAGAAGTTATTAAATCATATAATAAAATCATAACAACTTCATGAATATTATATTAGTGGCAAATTTATAGATAACGGGCAATTTGAAAATCCCTTGCAGTAAATGAGATGCATTGTCTTGTATGTTTTCAGCACCCAAAAAAGCAAAAAGGTATGTTGTAGAATACACCGTGAATATAACCATCAAGAAGCCAAATAAAATAAGCATGAAACACTAGTACTAACGGCTACAAATCTACGCTGAAAACGGCCACGAAAATAAATCTAATCTTTCATGTTTTCTAGAAAGAAGAAAATAGCATCAACAAGAAGCGAAAAAAAAAAGCATGAAACACAAAGCTACAAATGTGCACTAAAAACACCAGCGTTACATAGATCCAATCTCTGAAGTTGTACACAAGAAAAGGGTGCTCTCACGCTGACTGGGAAACAAACCACTACATGCTATGAAAAATTTACCACTATACGTTAAGGGTTCAAAGAATTGAAGTTAAGTGGTAGATGGAATTATTCTTAATATTTTTTAATGAAGTCAATTAAGAGACGCTTGATGGTATTTCTCCTAAAAATGTTTACAGATAAATCCATTGTTATATGTTCTATCATTTAACCAATTTTCCACCAAGTAGATGGAGTTCAATGCAAGCAATACATAGAGATTGGTAAGTTAACGTTAGATTATTAGCTTATTGCTTGATAGATCATGCTCTTCAACAATCCAAAGATTGCTGCCGAATTAACACACAATCCCTTGCCAAATTCTGGAATTCCTGGATTGGAAGTCATTGTAGAGTACATTTGTGTAGAAAGGACTTGTTAGTTTGTTCATATATTCTTTATATTATGGAAAACTTTGTAAGTAACCTTGAAAAAAAAGCATGGTAGTAACAAGTATATATAATAGGATAATATCCAAGCACTAACCTTGTAATAATTACAATAAGAATTGACCTAGTAAAATAATTCAGTAGAAGAGACAATGTTAAGTACATTATGAACATTCGGGATGTCTTATTTCACACAACGCTACAATGGTGTTGGTGGCAATGTTATTGATAAGGGGGAACTAAAAATTCCTGCCAAATACAAGTGAAGTATGGTTTTGCATGACTATGTGTGTTCAACCCTTTGCAAATTTGCAATGGACACCACCACCTTCACATAAATCCAATCTTTGAAGCTATCATAAAAGTGAAAAAAAGCATGTCTCCCACGGCGATTGAGAAGTAGAGTGCCACATGCTATCCAAAATCCACTAGCAAAACCAGTTCCCCCACCAATATAGAACCATCCCCAAAATTCATCTACGTCCTCTCCATCACCCTCACTTTCACAAATGATGGATGGTAATTTTGAATCTTCATCTCCAGGACAAGCTTTGGTAAGAGGAGGTCCACAGAGTCTTACATTTCCCTTGTATCTTGAAGGTTCAAAGGATTGGAGTTGTGTGCTAGATGGAATCCTCCCTGACAAGTTATTAAATGACACATCTAGGTCATTCAGTAAAGTCATCTGAGACATGCTTGATGGCATCTGCCCTGAAAAACTGTTTCTAGATAGATCCAAAGTTAACAGCTTTTTCATCTGATCAATTTCCCGTGGAATCTCTCCAAGTAGAGCGTTCTTTGATAAGTTTAGTGAAACCAGTTCATGGAGATTGGTAAGTTCATATGGGATTTGACCTGTTAAATTGTTGCTTGACAGGTCTATGCTCTTCAGCAATGCCAAATTCCTTATGAATTCACGTTCATCTCCTTGCCACACGATCATTGCATGATCAAAATACTCCTTGTAAGAGGGATAAATCAGAACCGTAGCATCATATGATGGAATTGAAACGCGATGTACGTTTTGTGCCGATAAGACTCCTTCCTCAACCATGCTCGTAAGATTATTCAAACATGAGGGGATGATGCCATGGAGTTTGTTCATTGACAAGTCCAGAATACGAAGATTTGGTAATGACATAATTGCAAAGGGATGGTTCCAAAGAAGTAGTTTGATGTTAGGATAAGAACATACAACCTTGATAAATTTTCACCAATCCAAACAGGCACATCACCAGAAAACTTGTTGGCCCCCAAATTCAACAAATTTAAACTTGTGCAATTCTTTAATGCCAAAGGCAATTCTCCACTGAAGTTGTTCTTGTATAAATCAAATACCTCAATTTTAATCAAAGATTCAACAGAGGAAGGAAGCCTTCCAAAGAGACTGTTGTGTCCTAGATTGAGAACTTTAAGTTCTTTGAAATGCCACAAACAATCTGGGATGTGTCCCATTAGAAAGTTATGGGACAGGTCAAGAAACTCTAAAAACCCATCGACAATTTGGCATAAAAAGAAGATTCCTCCATTGAATTTGTTTTTGGAAAGATTTAATAAGACCAAAGTGGAAGAAACATTCGGTATTGGACCAGAAAAGTTGTTGGAGCTCATATCTATCACCGAATTGCCATCAAAATTTGATGATAAATCTGGTATTTCCCCACTGATGTTGTTGGAAGAGAGATTCAAATATCTTAATTGTGAAGGCCACATATCCCAAAATTCTAGAGGAATGGTGTCTGAAATTCTAGAATTGGAAATATGAAGACGGGTGAGATTTTTCAGTGCATGAATCCATTTGGGGAAGCCAGGCCCTAGCTTGCAAGAGCTTAGATCAATAGACTTTACATAAGAAAGGCTTGATATGTGATCTGTGTAAGGAACTCCTTGGAGTGGGTTTTCTGAAAGATCTATACTAATAAGCTTGGACTTTCCAATGTTTTCAGAGATATCACCTCTAAGATAATTGAAAGAAACATCCACAATTTCAAGCCTTGGTAGTTCCCACAATTGCTCACTTATACTTCCATTTAATTTATTCCTAGATAGAGTCAATACTTCTAGGGAAGAAAACTTTTGGATATCATCAGAAATAGACCCTGTAAATTGGCTTGTTGAAGCCTCCAACGTTTGTAGAGTAAGTGATGCGCATCCAGACAAGTTTTTGAGCAAATCAGGAAATCTGACAACAGCAGAGTTGTTATTGAGTGTCAAACTTTCCAAACTACAGAGGTTACCAAGATATTTGGGTATCCCATCTAACATGTTGCTAGAGAGATAAAGATTGCGAAGCTTATTGCTGGTTAAGGGAAACAACCAATGATACATGGATGAGGTGAGACTGTTGTTTTGGAGATCAAGGGTAACAACAGATGAAGAAGAGTTGAGAAATGAAGAATATGGATACATGACCTGTGACAGCTCACATCCCGCTAAACTTATAATTGATAGTTTTGGGAGACTCGGAATTACATTTACCCAATGATTTGCTGTGGCTAGTGAAATTCCATCCATAACAAGCTCCTCCAAATTAGACATATGAGACAACCACTCTAAGTTTTCAGCTCTACAACTTCCAATGGAACCAAGGAGAAGTCTTTGCAAGCTAGTGAGGTTTCCTAACTCTGGAGGAATGGTTCCATAAAGAGAGTTATCGGAAAAGACAAGGAATGTTAATTTTGTCAATGAACCAACAGACTTTGGAATGGTTCCATAAAGAGAGTTACTGTAAAGATCAAGGTATGTTAATTCAGTCAAGGAGCCAATGGACCAGGGAATAGTTCCATTAAGATTATTGTTTCCGAGGATAAGGCGCGTTAAAAGAGCCAAGGAACCAACTGACCTGGGAATGGTTCCCCTAAGATTATTGCTGCTGAGGTCAAGGTACCTTAATCGAGTCAATGAACCAATGGATGTGGGAATGGTTCCATGAAAAAAATTGAGGGAAAGATCAAGATGATTCAGATAGCTGAAATTAAGCAACGAAAGGCTAATCTCACCTACAAGATCACAGACTGTAATTCCAAGCTGTGTGACATGACCTGTTTGCTTGTTGCACATGACTCCTTTCCATTGACAGCAGTCATCTTCATCGGCTCTCCATGTAGAGAGACAACCTTTGGGGTCTTGAAGGTTTTCTTTGAATTGAAGGAGGGCATGTCTCTCCTTATCCAAACACTTGTTTATAACACCATTAGCATCATCTCCTCCTCCTTCCACCGCTACTAACTGGTTGGCAGTTGTAGTTTCAACAAGGTTTAGAAAGAGAAGTGAGAAAAATATAAAAACACAAGGATGCATAATGTAAATGAAAATCTTGGTGATTTTTTGTTTGTATTGATGCATATATGGACTGCCTTCCCTACGAGGGTATATATCTTGTAAAGATCAAGATATCTCGACAGCGGAGATGAAGGATTCAAGTGAATGGCCTCATATTGATGGTTTATTTGTGTGGGACATTCGATACTTTATTCTCTAAATCTGAACCAAACAATAATAAAGATAAAAAAAACTGGAATTATTTGCCCCCAAGTAACGTTCAAAGACTTGCAAGTCTTGGTAGTTGGTATTAATTCATATACGACTTACAAGACTTCCTATACTTCATTTTGTGATTATATTAATTAAATCTGTGAGTTTGTTTAAATGGACCCAAGTCAATCCATGTTGACTTAATAGTTAATACATTCACTTTTACATTGTTAAAAATAGAAATTATTGAAAGTGCTACTAGCAGCGACTCTAAGGAAGGAGGGAGTCATTCCCTCCCTAACCCACTGAACCCACTGCCACATCACTTTTTCTCTTTTATTTTTCTTCATCTTTCCCAACCCACAACACATGAAACCCTATCTTTTTTAATCCACTCAACTCATTCAATTAAAAAAAATACAAATCAATCAAGGTAAAATTTTTTAATTAGCAATAGAGTTAACGCCGGTACCACTCCCACTTCAACGAGTTGTTTAATTGGTTTCACTAACCCACTTCATCATCTTTCTCTACTTTCTCTCTCTCATTTTCTCTTGTACTATATGTTTTAAAACCTGTACCTTAGTTGTTTTGTATTGTTTTTAATTGAGTGGGTTGAGAAAGATAGGAATGACTCCCTCCTCCCTAAAATAGAGGGTAAGAAAATTTAAATTTTTATTATACTAAAAAAACTATATGATTACTTTTAATACATCATTTAAACTAAATTTTTTAACATCTTTATTAACTACAAAAACTAAAGAGCTGAAGACCACACTTTTTAGACCATCCCTACCTTTGGCACTATGTTAAGCTTACAAATTAACTTTTCCACAGACAAAACAATTAAAATAGCAACACTCACTACTAACATACATTGTTATGTAATTGAAACGATGATGATTTGAAAATGAAGTTTTTTAATCACCAAAAAATGTTATTTTGAGAACCAACTAAGATGAAGAAAAACAAAATGAAATTAGTTATTGTGAGAACGTACTAACACTCGTCCTGATCTCCAAAGATGAAAACCAAAGTGATCCACTTTTTATCCCATCTGGTTCACTCTTAGTCTGGGGCCTGGGCATTAGTCCTGTCCGTTTAGTCAAAGATTTTTATTTATTCATTGTCAATTGAATACATCATGCATAGATTAGTTATACATTATTAATTTCCCATACATTATCAAACTGTAATAATTCTTACCTTATCACAGTTACTGCTTTTGAGCTTTCTACAATATAGAGTATTATTAAGTACTAAATATTAACAAGTTTGTTTGTTTTTAGTTGTAGACTTTTAGTCAATTAGTCTCACATTAATATGGTTCTAATAGGAACTTGCCTGTATTCTTGAGCAGATAATTAATCTCCCAATAACCGCAATGGTCTTATTTTATTAATTGCATGACAAGAAAAATAAACTATGGAGCACTAAATTTATAGTGTCCTGCTAAACACAATCCCAAAAAAAACTCAAAATAAGTAAACTGAAATTAAAACAAATACTTTCATAAAATATACCTATCTCCTTGCTACCCAAGTAATTATCTTGTTGGGTAAGCAATTATCCCCTGCACCTCTGGTAAATCTTACTAAACCGTCCCAAACTTGGATGCACACTCAAATTCGTATCATTACTCCCCTCCCAAAGACGCACCAATGGCCGGTCCATTGTTTTTTACTACTAGGGGCAAGACAAAAATTTTATGCCCTTGTATATTTACCGTACGATAGAGAAAACATATATATAAAAAAAATTATAAAATCAAAAATGAAGTAATTTTTATAACCAAACAAATAATACAAACAAAACCTACAAAAATCACTTAAAACGATGTTTTCGTGCATTTTTCGAAGAAAAAACATCTTTTATTTTAGATTAGTCAATATTTTTAAAAAAGTCACTTTCAATACTTAAAAAATACATTCAATCTTTCTTAAGTCATCATACTTCGGAGATACGACAAAAGCTTCAATTTTGAGCACCTAATGGTTGGTTGTTTTCGGGGAAACATATTAAAAACTTAAAAAATCTAGTTATAAAAACTAAATAATGAAAGATACAACATGACCAGATTTTATGAAATAAGGCCTCTAGAAATCAGATATTTGATTAGAAATGATCTTTAGGCAGCAAAGTCAGAAATATAGCTCCTGTTTCACATAACATAAACAATAACACAAAAGTTTAGAAATAATATTTAGACAACAAATATTGAAACAGTATTGTAACATTCGTAAAATTCTTGAAAATTTTAAACTTTTTAAACAGTCACAAAACCATCATTTATTACAATTTGTTTTCAAAATAAGTTTCACATAAGAGAAATCCCAAAATCGTAAAACAAAACATAAGGAGGTGCACAATCACGCCATCGCCTTGCCGCGATCCCCTAAGGTACCTGAAACACAATCCAAAACTGTAAGCCCAAAGTTTAGCGAGTTTCCCCTAAAATACCGATGCATAACAAAGAGCACAAATATAATAACAACATGTGATGGGTCCACAACTTAACAGACTCAATTACCCCTGAACCCACAACATAAGTTTGGCTTACCCTCAGCCCAAAGCTTATGTCTGGCTTGCTCCCCGGCCTGATCAGTCCTTGGACTGAACATCACTAAGACCTCAGTACGAGTCTGGCATGCCCTTTCCGGCCCTCAGCCCGTATATGGAATGCTCATGAGTCCTCAATATGAGTCTGGCATGCCCTCCCTGTCCCTCAGCTCATATCTAGCATACTCCAGGGTTGTTGGCTACAGCACGAAGCAAGACAACCTCAACCCACCTCATACAATATGTCGGCATATAACAGATAATATCATATACATATAAACGGATAACTTCACAAGTAGTCCTACAGATCTACCAAACTAGCATAACAAAACTAGCATGCATATCTATTCCATACTCAGTATATCCACAATATCGGGTTATCAAACCAATGGGCCGACCTTGGTGTCATCGACCCCTACGTATAATGAGGACAACTTACCTCACAAGTAGTTGAACTGATAAGATCTAAATCTGAATCTCAGCTCCTGAAACAAATGCCTACAACCATCATGTGACCAATTCCATTAAAACCCCGAAATACCCAAAATGCCCTCAAAGGTTAGCTTGGTCAACCATGGTCAAAGTCAAAGTCAAATGTCAAGATCAATAGTCCATGTTGACCCAACTCGTCGAGTGCACCCACCAACTCGTCAAGTTTCTACAGTACTCAGAAAGTCGCGAAAACCCTAACCAACTCGTCGAGTTGGCTGGAAAACTCGCTGAGTTTTTCCCAGCTTAACACATTCAGATGATTCTTCGATTCCAAAGACTCTAAGGCTCAGATCTGAACTCCAAATGTGTCCAAAAGGATAAAGTTTCCAACTTTATCCTTTGGGGCTACTCCAAATACTCAAAAACCCTTCCAGATGGCTTGAAAACTCAAAGGCTTAACCATTAAGCACAAAATCCTTGAGATCTGGAACCCAACTTTTATAGAAGAGATCCTAGCCTCACAAACGTCCCAAAGGTTGGTTCTTTATAGACATGCATGTCCAATGCATGTCTTAAACTCAAAATGGGCCAAAAAGGGAAATATGACCTAAACTCCATGCATGACATCTAAGCTTGGATAAAGACCAGATCTAACCCACCATAAGGTCACCTTGAACTGGAGATTCATAAAGTTGCAAACTTTATGAAGTCCATCCATTGCAACATTAAAGAATAAGGAGAAAAAGGGACAAAACTCAAGATCTAACTACATAGATAGATAAAAATCGGATCTTGAATACTTACAACGGTCCAAAAGAGTGTCAAACCGAAGATGAGAGCTTAGCTTGCTAGATCCTTGCTTCTTTCTTCCAACTTCTTCTCCTTTTGCCCCAAAAGAACCACACTAAAACACAAAATGAGAGGGAATGGTGATTAGGGTTCACTAGGACCACAAAAAGGGTTTGGAGGCTGATAAAGGATCAACCCTAGGGACTTAAGGAGATTAAATAAGGTGCAAAACCCTTAAATTTAGGGTTTCTCACCCAGCCGCCAACTCGTCGAGTTGGTCCAAAAAGATACGCAGCCCAAAAGCCTTTCAACACGTCGAGTTGAGGTCATCAACTCGTCGAGTTCCAAGGGAAACTTGTCTTTTAAAGAATAAATCTCATACCTGGAAATCGGGATGTTACAAGTATATACAAATATGATTGCTAAAATAATAGAGAAATCAGATATAAATCTGATTTCACAGCTCAAATTTAGAGAAAACAGTAGAGAAATCACCCAAATCTGATTTCAGAAACACTAGAGAAATCAGATACAAAAAAAAACAATAACTATAAATATGAGAGAAGAAATCAAATATACAAGAAATAAATAAGATTTCTGAAACAAAACTAAATTAAAACATATTTCAAGATTAAAACTTACCCAAATATAATTTCTGAAACAACAATATTGAGCACAAACACAATTAGAGGAGAAATCTGATTTGGTTTCTGAAGAACTGAAACAGCCAAGTAACCAACTTGTTTCGAATGATTTCAAAACAAAAATATGATTTCTAAAACATCAAATTTCGAATGAATGATTGAACTCTTTTAGACTTTGACTATTTTTTCCTGTAATGAAGTAGAGAAAAAAAATCAGATAAATAAGAAACAAAGTAGATTTCTGAAACAAACCTAAATAAACACAAGTTTTGAATGAACTCACCCAAATTGGATTTCTGAGACAACCAACAAGAAACGAATCATACCCAAATCAGTGAATAACTAAATCATAAATTCAAAATCGATTTATTGTGTATCAGATTAGAGAAAACCAGACTTACA